GTTCTTGTCTTTAAAATATCTGGCACGAGCCCAGTCTATTTCAAACTCTGGGATTAGCCCTTTCACCGCGACAGAAACCCTAGCTAATACTTTTTGTTTGGGTTTTTCTTGTTTCATCACGTGATTAAATTTTAGTTTAAAATCAATGATGTTAGTCATACTGTAGTGTGACCCACCCATCTTAAAAGTGGGTGGGTCAAAGCAGCTGATTGGCTAAACCAGTCAACAGCATCATCGGCATGAGTTCGTGTTCTTTTTTAGGTTAACTTTGACCGCAAAAATTTAAAGTCAGGCCATTAGATTTGTTTAACGACGAAGTAAACATGTTATTCGCTACTAAAATGGTACTAAGTCAATATTATTATTTCAAGAGTGGTCTTTTAAAATTCATGGCAGGTGATCCCAGAAAAACCAAGATCGAGATGACCGGAAATCCAAAGTCCTTGAAATTTGGCGAATATTTGCAGATCGCAGACACCTTCATAAACTTTAAAAATGAAACTGAACCTCATGTAACTCGGAAAAAAATTCAGCAACCTAATAAACTACCACTTTTTATTTTTGTCAAAACTGATTCGAACCAAGTGTCAAATATGACAACAAATTTGGAAAACATTTTTATTTTTGGCGTTCTGTTTTTTAATTTAGTGTCAAAATCGAAAGAATACGTAGCTGATATTCCATCTAGAAGAAACGAACCGAATGTTCTAGAAAATTCTGTCAGATCAGATATCGTGAATGGAGTTCCGAGCTTAAACCACGCTTTCTTTGTAAGAATTGTGTACTACAACTCCGCTTTTTTCTGTGGTGGTGCTCGTATTCAGAGGGAATGGGTGATCACAGCTGCGCATTGCACAGTAAACAAACTGAGTAAGTCTGAAGCCAAGATTGGATCTCGTTAACTAGTTAACCTGCCCACCATAGTACCTAGTAGAAACTATTAACACCCCGCCTTTATGTTTCGACTTTTTGAGGAGCTCGACTTTTGTTTCTACTTTGAAGATCGAGTACGTGCAGTTTTGCAGCTGAAACTTGGAAGTCCAGTAACAATTTTAACTTTGGTCGAGGAAGTCGAAACATATCTGAAATGGACCAAAAAAAGTCGAACACTTTTTTGTTGGTTCGAGAGAGTCGATAAATGCCAAAGTTTGGTCTAGAAAGTCGAAACATACAAAAATTTGGTCTAGAAAGTCGAAACATACAAAAATTTGGTCGAATCATACCGATTTTTAGCCAAGAATGTCGGAACATAAATCTGGGAAGATCTAACTCAATGGTTAAGCATATGCTTGTTTCATACTTTTTGAACTATCACCATTTGCTATTCAATGAAGAAATAGATTGGAAGAGGACGGAATTATTTATAAAGATCGGCAAGAGTGAAGATTCGTGGTTTTTTTTCTATATTTGACAGTTCGTCTCTACTGCAAAACACATCGAATTCTATTTTGAAGCCTTTGTGAAAACTTTGATCTGCCTATTAAAACCCCACATTTATGCATTTGTGCTTTTCCCGATATCTCTCTTAACTTTTTGGAATCAAGCTTAAGCTTAAGCAGCCTGTGATGAGAAGTTTTGCTATTTATCTGCTTTTATCTAGCTCAGCAAGACTGCTTATGTTTCTCTTCTTATGTTAACTCAGAAAGTAATGTTTTTCTTCTTAGCTTTATCGACCAATCATTATGAATTTAGTGACAAAAGTTTTGCCGTAGTAGTTATCACAAAAATTATTTTCGGTATTTGGTGGTGTTCATAGGTAGTTTAAAAAAGACGCAAGAAACCCTTCCCTTCAGCCTTCCCACCTCACCCCTCATGCTCCCCCGCCCCCATCCTATCTGCAGCTGTGTGCTAGTCACACCACATTTGAGCCCGTAACTGTAGTTATAATAATTAGTGTGAGAACTTCTTGATTTTAGGGGAGTCTGTTTTTGTCCAGATAGGAGACTTCAGCTCATTCAGGTTGATGTTCGGTTTCCAGAGGAAAAACCATACCATCACAGAGTGGAAAACTGCACCTGGGTAGGAAAACTTTAATTAAGTAAACAAGATTTTGAGAAAAATTAAGCAGGGGCGGAACTAGGGTTTTCTCGAAGCGGGAAGGGGCGGACAATCTTCACTCCCCCTAATGCAAAAAAGGGGACATTCGTTCTAAGACTTTAAGTTCGTTAATCCCTAATTGTTGGATTAGTTCGATCGTTATAGAGTTGCAATAAATCAGTAGGCACCATGAGGCGATTAGTTACAAGATCCAAAACTTTTTGCAGCAAGTATCTAATTTTGTGAGTCAATGGAAATGAACAAAACTGACGCTGATAAATTCTAAAAAGCTGGTTAAATTAAAAAAACTAACAGTGTCTTTAAATCTGATGAAACGTTGCTATAATATAAATATTTGGGTTATGATATTCTTTTTATTGCTAAGTGAAATTTTTTCAATACTACTAATAATTATTATATCATAAAATTGTTTTTTAACCATTTAGATATTTTTTGTAGGTTCACAGAAAAAAACGGACGCTACGAAAACGACATCGCTCTATTGCGAATAGCTGATATCGAAAATAGCCCAAACGAGTTCATCAGATTGTGCTCAGAGAAACAAGAACAAGGAACCCTACTGGGTGTCTCTGGAATGGGTTTCTTGTCACGTGACGAGCAACATCTACCCGACTCCCTCCAGGAGACTTATTTCCAAGAATCATATTTCCAAATGTTTTCAGGCCCTTTCAAATATGAGTCATGCCCAGCTGATAAAATATGCACGACCAATGTAATTCACAACTCGGGCATTTGCCCAATGGACTATGGAGGACCCTTATACGCAATGTACTGTCAGTCTCGTATAGCCGAATGTTTGTATGGTGTGGCAAGTTATTCGGCTAGTTGGACAGTTGATGTTTCGGATGATCTGTGCTCTCAAACTACAGTATTTGCCAGCGTGGTTCATCTCAAAGAATGGATCTCATCTGTAATTTATCAATCGGATTTCTGGTTTCTTGTTCAAGCTGATGATCAGATATTCGGAGACTAAACGAATGAAATAATATAAGTTTTATTTGCCGAGATACGTTTTCAAAATTTCACAGAAAAGATGCTGGAAACTATAGTTTGTGACCAAGGAAAGCTGAAAAATTGAGGACAACCAAGTTTGAAGTTTTGACTGGAATTTAACCTTCAGAAAAGGATACAACTCAAGGGAATAACAAACTCATGGTGTAAAATTGTATTGTTGTATTGTATTTTGAAGTAGCTAGTTTAATTATAACATTTTTTAAATTGCACTTCTCCACATTCTAGAGTTCCCACGCGTTTCGATGAGGCAAATTTTCTTCTGCAAACTTAAAGAAAACTTATTAACTACAGATGGCAACAAGATTGACAAAAATTTCATATAAAAGAATTGAGACTTCTATCTTATGGAAAAGATTTTGTTTTCAAACTGACTGATATGAATTTTTCTTCTTGGAATGAAATTTATATGATTTCAGCGCTCTTAACTTTTTTATTTGATATAGACTTTTATCAAACCAAATCAACATCATCAAGGAGAGCGCTCAAAAAAAACTTTGAGCACTACTGAAAAAAAATGCCCAAGTTTTTGAACATACTATCAAAAAATGTTTGAAAGCCTTTTATTAGAACATTTTAATCTGTTTCGCCCTAAATTGAGCAGTCTTTTTTCTAATTTATTTTTTGGTGTTATTGATACGCTATCAGCCACAAAGTATTTTACCGTATGTTATTCATATCGTGTAGAGGGATGAAACCAAGCAAAAGCCAAACTTTTTTCATGTTTTTGTTCAATTTAAACCATCAAACTATTAAACTAAAATTAAACTATTTCATCCACAAAAAAATTGTCAAAAAATTCAGAGTTTTTCCAAGTTTTCTAGTCCAAGTTTGTTTTGTATAGTTCAAGAAACAGCCCTGATTCTTGGATATCTCATCAGTGTAGTTTTAACTTATTTGTGAATCTATGACAAAGATGGTTCAGGGATATCTCTATGCGTTTTGCAAGTAAGCATTTTTGCCTCGGAGTACAAGTTTTTTTTAATTTTTGTGAGCAGTACTGGTTTTTTCTGATGTAAGTATGGGCATATGTAACATGCGAGATCAGGTTCAAAAAATTTAAAAGGAATGCCTTTTCTTAGCATTTTTCCCATCCGATAAGACAATTTCATAAAACACATTGTTCGAATTTTGAAATGACTTTTTTTAATTTTGTCTAAGGTTTAGCTGTTTAATCGGCCAAAACTGATCAAGAAAAATCACAAATGCAAATACACTTGTTGTGTTTGCTTAGTTTCTATAGTTTCACAGGATTTTGATAACAACACAAAGACTCTGTGAATCAATCATTTTTATATTTCAAAACAAAACTTTAGGTTCTAAGTTTTGTAGAAACTTTGTTGGTAGTTTTTTTTTCTTAAATTATAGTTTTACACCAAAAATACATGTATAGATGGTTGCTAAAACCCATTGAAGTAGAGAGCTCATATGCACTTACTGAGTTACAACAGAAAGTTTTCCATAAATTATTAATTGATTAAAAAAGTTGTTATCTGGGTTAGCTAATCAAGCCAAACATATCAAACGTCGTCAAATTATTCTACTGATATACAATCTTCATTAGCCACATTGATTAAACAGAAAAAAAATATGATACACTCATTGGTTCAGTTTTTTGCACTAAAAGATGCAGAGGCTATCATTTTGTACTTGACATTGATCGAAGACGATTAGATTGGAATGACCAAAATTCTCGTTTTCTATATTTTTCAAAATGACTTTTCATCAATCCCATTTCAATCCCACTCATTGTTTCGCACTGATATGAACACATTTAGCGAGCTAATTTTCGAAGAAAGGATGGAATGTTTTGTAGTTGGACTGGTTTTTTGCGGCAAGTTTTGGCATTTTTAATGCCATTTTTGAGTGCAGAGTTTGTATGTCAATCTGAAAAAAATGAAATCCTAAGCTCATCAGTAAGAAAAATTATTTCACCGATTTTTTTCCAGCTTTTGACTTCAGGTTTTGACTTGAATGAGTCATGCCCAGCTGATAAAATATGCACGACCAATGTAATTCACAACTCGGGCATTTGCCCAATGGACTATGGAGGACCCTTATACGCAATGTACTGTCAGTCTCGTATAGCCGAATGTTTGTATGGTGTGGCAAGTTATTCGGCTAGTTGGACAGTTGATGTTTCGGATGATCTGTGCTCTCAAACTACAGTATTTGCCAGCGTGGTTCATCTCAAAGAATGGATCTCATCTGTAATTTATCAATCGGATTTCTGGTTTCTTGTTCAAGCTGATGATCAGATATTCGGAGACTAAACGAATGAAATAATATAAGTTTTATTTGCCGAGATACGTTTTCAAAATTTCACAGAAAAGATGCTGGAAACTATAGTTTGTGACCAAGGAAAGCTGAAAAATTGAGGACAACCAAGTTTGAAGTTTTGACTGGAATTTAACCTTCAGAAAAGGATACAACTCAAGGGAATAACAAACTCATGGTGTAAAATTGTATTGTTGTATTGTATTTTGAAGTAGCTAGTTTAATTATAACATTTTTTAAATTGCACTTCTCCACATTCTAGAGTTCCCACGCGTTTCGATGAGGCAAATTTTCTTCTGCAAACTTAAAGAAAACTTATTAACTACAGATGGCAACAAGATTGACAAAAATTTCATATAAAAGAATTGAGACTTCTATCTTATGGAAAAGATTTTGTTTTCAAACTGACTGATATGAATTTTTCTTCTTGGAATGAAATTTATATGATTTCAGCGCTCTTAACTTTTTTATTTGATATAGACTTTTATCAAACCAAATCAACATCATCAAGGAGAGCGCTCAAAAAAAACTTTGAGCACTACTGAAAAAAAATGCCCAAGTTTTTGAACATACTATCAAAAAATGTTTGAAAGCCTTTTATTAGAACATTTTAATCTGTTTCGCCCTAAATTGAGCAGTCTTTTTTCTAATTTATTTTTTGGTGTTATTGATACGCTATCAGCCACAAAGTATTTTACCGTATGTTATTCATATCGTGTAGAGGGATGAAACCAAGCAAAAGCCAAACTTTTTTCATGTTTTTGTTCAATTTAAACCATCAAACTATTAAACTAAAATTAAACTATTTCATCCACAAAAAAATTGTCAAAAAATTCAGAGTTTTTCCAAGTTTTCTAGTCCAAGTTTGTTTTGTATAGTTCAAGAAACAGCCCTGATTCTTGGATATCTCATCAGTGTAGTTTTAACTTATTTGTGAATCTATGACAAAGATGGTTCAGGGATATCTCTATGCGTTTTGCAAGTAAGCATTTTTGCCTCGGAGTACAAGTTTTTTTTAATTTTTGTGAGCAGTACTGGTTTTTTCTGATGTAAGTATGGGCATATGTAACATGCGAGATCAGGTTCAAAAAATTTAAAAGGAATGCCTTTTCTTAGCATTTTTCCCATCCGATAAGACAATTTCATAAAACACATTGTTCGAATTTTGAAATGACTTTTTTTAATTTTGTCTAAGGTTTAGCTGTTTAATCGGCCAAAACTGATCAAGAAAAATCACAAATGCAAATACACTTGTTGTGTTTGCTTAGTTTCTATAGTTTCACAGGATTTTGATAACAACACAAAGACTCTGTGAATCAATCATTTTTATATTTCAAAACAAAACTTTAGGTTCTAAGTTTTGTAGAAACTTTGTTGGTAGTTTTTTTTTCTTAAATTATAGTTTTACACCAAAAATACATGTATAGATGGTTGCTAAAACCCATTGAAGTAGAGAGCTCATATCCACTTACTGAGTTACAACAGAAAGTTTTCCATAAATTATTAATTGATTAAAAAAGTTGTTATCTGGGTTAGCTAATCAAGCCAAACATATCAAACGTCGTCAAATTATTCTACTGATATACAATCTTCATTAGCCACATTGATTAAACAGAAAAAAAATATGATACACTCATTGGTTCAGTTTTTTGCACTAAAAGATGCAGAGGCTATCATTTTGTACTTGACATTGATCGAAGACGATTAGATTGGAATGACCAAAATTCTCGTTTTCTATATTTTTCAAAATGACTTTTCATCAATCCCATTTCAATCCCACTCATTGCTTCGCACTGATATGAACACATTTAGCGAGCTAATTTTCGAAGAAAGGATGGAATGTTTTGTAGTTGGACTGGTTTTTTGCGGCAAGTTTTGGCATTTTTAATGCCATTTTTGAGTGCAGAGTTTGTATGTCAATCTGAAAAAAATGAAATCCTAAGCTCATCAGTAAGAAAAATTATTTCACCGATTTTTTTCCAGCTTTTGACTTCAGGTTTTGACTTAAAAAAACTAAATTCCTTGACTTAATTTTTGATTCATTTTCACGAACAATTTTTGATGGGTGGTTATGTCATAAAATTAAACCAATAAGAGAAAACTGGATCATTAAGAAAATTTTTATTTCGGCTTTAATCTGATTTAAAAATTCCATTTTCAAAACTAGAAGTCACTTACGTTTTTCGTGACTTTTCCGCTCAATCGTCAATTTTTATTCTTCTTTCTACAGGAAAAAAGCTGAATTTACAAAAATCAAAAGTCAGACAGCGAAAAATCAAAATTGAGCAAAAAGTCATTCCTGAAAAAACTCAACAAATCACATGACTTATAAAAGAGAATTCATCACATCATTGCGATGCCAAACAGTGTATTCTGTGATTGTATGTGGATATGGAAACCAGGAAGACCTCTTTGTTCTTCCTTCTTTCTTGCGTTTTCTTTGATCGTTCCGACAAAATTTTAACAAGTTTTGAGACTTGTCTCCGGATTTCAGAGACCTACACTATCCAGTACACAATTTGGTGTCAACATGGTTCCCTGCTCTTAATTATTTGATTCTCCAAGAAAACGGTCAACTGGAAAAGAGGCTCAAGTTTTTTCATTTTTTGCCTACCTTTTGCTTGTTCAGTTGCC